GCAAGACATTTGACTTGTCGCCCCTGTGATCCTTTTATGCTCACCCACTCCTCTAAAAACTATATAAAACAACTCTTGACAGTTCTTATTTTGCTTTAAGTAGTTTGTACTTGTGGCTTCATGTTTCACTTTGCTCCTGATATCTGTGAATTTGAGACATATCATGTGTTTTCTGTCTGATTTAGAAATAGTCAACTTTGTTAGTTTTGCGTGCCACAAAATTTAGTTGTCGTATAGCTTGTTGTATCGGACTCGTTAATGAGATATAAATTGCTTGTTCAGATTTCTGCTTGTATGATTTTATAAAAAAATAGCCTAAAAATTCAAATTTTCAGTTTGCAATGAATGCCAGATTTTCAGCTTATACAAATAGAATTAATGCTTCGATTTCGACATCTACATAATAACGTACATGATGTAAGTACATTCGAAAATCTACTTGAACGTCAAATCCGCGCAAAAACTCCGATACTGTTATATCACCACGTTGTAGCCATAGTTTTCAGGTATCTGTTTAGGTGTTAAGCCTCACGTACTTTGGTGGCTCAGAGCTGTCCAAATCCTGTGCGTGTGCGTTCAGGCAAAATCTGTAATTCTGCTTTTTTCGTAAATAGTGAATTAATAAATTTGATTTGACTTATCACTACAACATGTTGTCTGTACAAATGTTTGTGGTAGAATGTGATAAGGTGAAAAATTTCAGGTTACGATGCTTTGCCCTGATGGTGTTAACTCTTTAGTACTGAAACAAGTTGACAAAAAAACGCGGATCACGCAATCAGCTACAACTCCAACAAGTGGTTCACAGTCGAAACAATAAAATCGAAATTGTATTCCCAAATAACGATTATCCTTACCAGATGAGCAAGCGCTGCTATCAACTGTATGATCGAAAACTGCAGAAATGACCATGGAGTTGCAGGACAGTTAAGGGTATTGTTTTGTGAATGGGCATGTTCTTTTTATCGCAATAATCTTACGTTAAGCGAAAGCACTTAATGCATATGTAATTTAGCGCTTTTGTCTGGATGAACTGTAGATTTTCGTTTTGACATGTTTTCATCATTTTATTCACTGCCTATTACAAGACTGTTTCCCTCACAACTGATGCTGGCTCTTTCACCGTAACTCTTTCAGATTTAAAAAATACCGCGATGTTTTCCACGGTTCAGAGGAACTATGATATTAAAATAAGTCGTGGAAACGTTTTTGCCACGTCTGTGTAAGCTGAACGAATGGAAAGATCACGCTTTCTTCTGATTTCCTAGTAATGTTAATCAAGCATCCTTCAGGTCGTTCAGTTGCCATGAGTGATCAGTGGCACAATTTGTTATTCATAGGGGTACTGATTTTCACTTGTTCAACGCGGGTTTCTCGCGGGCGTTTTTTTCCAAACAGACTGACAATGAAATCATAAAGAGGCCTCTCATTCACTGAATACCAATCTCTTGTTAGTCCACTAAGTCAGGGTTAGTGACAAATGTTCACTCTAATTAAAATACCAACCATATACCTCGCTTTGAATTCACTCTCTTATTGCTGCCTGTGGTAAGGATACTTGCACAAGAGAACAAGCGTTGATTTGGATGGAGGCACAAAAATAGTCTGAAATTAGGAAACAAAATAACGTAATAAACAATAGTAAACATTTAATACTACAGACGCCAAAACACGTTAAGTTCAGACTCGACAACGTAGGTGAAAATGTACGGAATGGTGATCAGACGATATCCGCTGAATCTATGAAGTACTGACGGCAGTTGTCGACGCTGCAACCGACGGATGTAAGGTCTTTGCGGCTGTCGATCGTTTCAGCTCAGCAATCTGAAACTCACAAAATGAAATTAACATACGAAAT